TTGTCATGAATTTGGCTGCTGCACATGGATATTGGCCGCTTGCATATCATATAAGGCGGACATTGCCTCTGACTGGGAAAAGCAGCAGTGATCAGGAAAAGGAATCAATCGAGGCAAAGTCGATCAACCTTGGTGCACCCGGAAAACTCCTGGTGAACCTGAGGTCCTAAGAAAAGTGTCCAAACTCGTTTTTGAGCACAAAACAGAAAAAAATGACTCGTAAGACATAAATTATAGAGGTGAAAGACTGGCGCCAATTCACACACGCGTGGTATTATTTAACGCGATAACGCCTCGAGTTTGCGATGTTCTGGATGGCGGATAGCTTACATGCAATGAAAAATATCGACATGTAAGATATCAGCATATAATCAGATACAGACCCGAAATGATTTCTTAAACGGTGGTGTACGAGAGACTCAATTGGCGTTCTTAAATGCCACGTTGTCTTCTTTTGAGTAATGCTTTTGGGGTTCATTTGATGAAGCCCTGCACAAAGCAAATTTAAATTCACTTCGATTTCTTTCATAACATTTTGTTGAGCTCGCTGCCAAACCATTTGATTGCAATTCACTTAATTGTTCCGCTTCCGTAATGCCTCTGCACATAGCGAGGAGTGTTGGCGATATTTCTTTTTTGCGCCTTGAGAAACGTGTGAAATTTCAACGCGATGTTTTATTGCTCAGTGCGCATTTGTCGGCACATTCTCGCAATTCATCTGATGCCCTCAGTAGACATGCTCTCCAAAACATAAGCAATACCATTCGCGCCAGACGTGCGGAGTTGACTCACAAGCACTGGGGGGGATTGCGCTCTCCCGCCTTTACTCCAAGCAGGTTGGCGGGTTTTGCAACTCCCGCGGAAAGCCTCTCTCTCTTTAAGGCGCCCCGCGAGCGCCATCTACACTAGGAAGAAAGGGGCCAAATACCACGTGCTCGAACGCGTACGAAGTTTACGGGTTTTGTTATTTTCTTGTTTTTAGCGTGTAGAACACTGATGAAATGCATACATATGTTTTTGCAGAACGTGTTATTTGGTCCTTTTCTTGCTGGTGCCACCCGTCCTCACCACCCCGCGATAGAGCTCCCATATCTGGGTCGCCGAGCGGCGAGACCGCGGGTCAGCCAGGCACTCAAGAGTGCCAACCTCCGCCGGCATCTGCCAATTGTGCTGACGACTTTGGGTGTTGAGCTTCGGAGGGCTGGGACACCTGGGGCACTTCCTGGCGGTTCCACTAAAGTAGAAGTTCCTGTCGGTGCACCGACAACACCGATGAACCAGCCCACCCCTTGAGGGTATTTCCCGCCGACCCCTCACTCTCTTTTTCATCTGCCTGCCGACGCCGGTGGGAAGGTTACGCCCCCGCCGACGGCGGAGGGGGTTTTACGCAATCCGCACCTGTATGGCGTGCAAAAGGTCGAGTAGGCTGGGCCTTTTCTGGGCGAGATGATGCAAAAAAGTTGCGTGGGAAAACTTGGGATCTTTGTAGCTGGATCCCAGAGATCACACTGCAACCACGATCGACTGAACGACCCACTCCCCCGACGCGGCGTTCCAGATTCGCCCAACCCTCATTTGAATTGGACCAACGGCATATATGAAGGGAAGCAAATGACACTGTCCCAGGCCATGGTCGGCCAGGGGGGAAAGAGCATGGATGGAGGCTTTACTTCATCGGGCCCGGCTCAGCATTTCCATCACCTCATTAGACGAAACCTCGCCACTGTTCCGATAGGTTAGGTTCTTACGATGTGTACCGAGAGCGACACCGAAAACGGGCGCCAATCGGGCAGATCCCCACGTCTCAGCACACCGCGGGCGCCCTGCGAATTGCAGGCAGCATTTCACAGGTCGCCTGGGGCGGTACGCGCACAGCGACCGCTGCCCACCGAGGTATCCAAGTGAGTCACGCCCAGCCTCGCAGGCCCAGCCATGGTGCTGAAGAACCAGCCCAGTGGGCGGCATCCCTACCTGCTCCGCAGCTGTTTTCCCACAATGCGGTACAAGAGTTTAGATTTTAGCGCTTTAGAGTTTTGTGCTGGGCCATCTTTTCCTGCAAAGGCGGCAAGGGTGGATTGAGCTCAATTCAATGGCGACGATTGAGTTCGACACTCGCCTCAATTTAGGCGGCGCGCGTTTTCGCACTTTGAACCGGTTCAAAGGTACCGCCGGTACCGCCGAGCTTGCCTCACACTTGGGACACAAAGTTGCATAAAGCTCGGTTGTGTATAGTATACTTTTGTGCCGCTTTTTTGTGAAGAGGGTTCTTGTTAGGCACAAGGGTGCAGAACTCGACTGACGTTGCAAAATGTTGTCGGCACGTCAGCATTGGGATTGGCTTGTGCTCCCTAGAGCTTTTCATGCACCGCGAGCCAGGAAGCGCGTGAAGACGGAGCAAGTGACCAGCAGAACAGGAACTTTTGAGCGATGCCTGAAGAGCATTGTCTTCGGATTGAAAAGGTGCGGAAAGGAATTCTCGTCATTTCGAAATGACATGTTCCTCGTGCCGGGGACGGGCCCCGCCCATCGCCAGAACAAACCGATAGTCTTAGGATGTCAACTGCGATGCAATTTGACACTAATTGATGGGATCACACCCATTTTTGTGCCATCGCAATGTCTGTGATGGCGCCACTTTGTGTCAAAATGGCATCGAAGTCGGCATCCCCAACATGGTGATTTCTGATAAAGCATGAAGTGCATTCCCAAATCATTCAAGAGTCAAGGCTCAGTCTATGTACAATCGTCAAGCTGTTCGTGTATCTGTTCCACGGCGCACAATGTTGCAACACCTCTGGCTGACGGCCGAACGCACAAAGGAAACTTCGGATTGACCGTCCTTCTAGGGCAGCGCTTCCAGTTGTCTTGACCACAGAACAGGCGCGTGCCTGGCATACGCAATGCGCACACCTTTGATCGTCGATTGTACAATACGAGGAATCAAATCATCCGGAAAAAGTTGACCCGACTGCCACGTCCGCTGGCCCGGGCAGTTGATCAACCACTGTTCGGGCGTTTGTGCGTATAAATCGGCCTCGCCACGGCCACCTCTTCACCGCAGAGCCACTCTGTACTTCAGAGCCGAAGCTGGGTTTCGAAGGTTGTAAAAGAGAATTGCATCAAGAAGATGGGCAGCTTGGCTTCACCATGGCGACGAGCGAGGGATCCTCCAGGCCGAGGCGCACCCCTTCGCCGCAGCTCGCCGGTGAGCCGTTGTTGGGTGGAAGGGCACTTCAGGGATCGGGCTGTCCTCTTCCTACTCCTGGTCAACGTGGCTTGGTAGAGTAATGGGACACCCCATCCCGTGGTGCCCGGTTGGATTCCCGGTCGGACATCCTCTTTCCCATCCGCGCTAAGACAATCGTACATGTAACCGGTTTCCTTCGCGTCACCACTAGCAGCCGGCGGCCAGATTCTTGCTCCGACCTCGAGGGAACTGAAGTTCGCGAGGACGTGATTTTCTGGGTGTGCCTTTCAGATGGTGCGTTCTTTTACGATTGGACGCCACCGGAATTTCGTCAGGCTGAGCACGGTCTGACACACCGTCCTTGGCATATTTGCGTCCGCTAGTTGCCTCTCCGTGCGTTGGCAAGCGTCGTGCGTCTGATTTCAAGCCGCTGTGGGACACAGCGCTGATTTCTCTGCACACGTGACTTTGCGTGCCACGGCGGCTTGCCTTCGTGATGTCAACGATAACCGACCCACGGCCCCATGCGTATTTTCAAGCTCGCTGAGTCCCCAGCACCACTGCGCAGGCCCCCGAACTATTGAAGCCGAATTTCCCTCCCATTCGCCATTTGTGCCTTGATGTTTGAGAATATGAAGTCCCTGATGATCGGCATGAACAATTTCCGTCGAGGGTGGCCAAAAATTCAGGTTGGATGGCTCAATCCTGCCCCTGAAATTCTGCCGACGGTGCAGCTGTTGTGTCCGCAATGTCTCTAGTGCGGCTCAACGAGTCGTGCATGGTGAAGGAGATTTCGAGTTGCTTAACCAAAATGCGTTTTGTTTTGTTTCAATATCTTGCCCCGGGAACAACGGCATGCTTGTGCAAGCGACGCCTTTTGCCTTTTCTGTTCTACATTCATTACTATGCCCAATTATCTGGGGTTTTGGGAGCGAAGCCTAATCTTGATATACTGAATCGTGACCGATGAGTAAAAGGTTCCGAATGCGCCCGCAAGTATTAATTATCTACAATGAATTTGACGCAGATTTAAATTGCGGAACCGACAATGCACAGCGACAGAAATGGCGGCAGAAAAGACGCCAATCGCCAGCGCAAGAGTCATTTCGGGGATTCTTTTGGATAATTATACCTGGAGGCTATCAGACCACTATTGTAAGGCCAAAAACGGACGTTGGCCTCTGAGCTCTGAGCGCAATCACTGAAGAGGACGATTAACTTTGCGGCTATAGGCAGTCGCGACGATGGTGGGCGCCATGCATAGCGCGATCACCTATGGACCCATGACAACTGCCAGGAGCCCGATCGAGGTCATGGGCAGTGTAACCATTGCGGGAATGGCAAGCCAGTCAGCTGTACGCACATCACCAAGACGCTAAGTGCCAAGGAGTCATAATATCTGCGGGGGACATGACAACCACAGAAAGGCCAAGTGAAAGGCAGGCAAGTAGGATGGAAGTGGCAGCTGTGACCGACATGACCACAACGTGCATACACGACGACTGCGCATGTGGCCATGACTATACGATGGTAAGGAACGCCAGCGCGGCTGCAAAATCAGAAGACCCACCTATCTGGAAGCCTAACTGAAGAACATGCAACGGCCAATATGGAAGGCACGGCGTCTGCAAAAAAACTAAGCAGCGCAAAGCGACGCGCGTGCACGTTCCATTCATGGTAACCATGGCAATGGATCTCACAAATCACCAGGGAAAAAGGGCCAAATAATACGTGTTCAAAGGTGTACAGAATATATGCAACAGTGCAGAATCGGAGATGCAATATGTTGGCAACGCAATTCCCGTTGCTGCCATCATGGCCCTTGTTCCTCCTGCAAGCACCGCGTGCAGGAGCACACAAATCCGTAGTCCATCAGCGCACGCTGCCGCTGTTCCAGCGGCTCGCTCTCGTCCACGTACGAGATCGTTATCTCCTCTCCCGCTGTGATGGGACCCTCTGCGATGAGCGCCAGGTTGCCGCCGACGTCCAGGCCCGTCCTTCGGGTGGCCTTCGCGTTGGGGACGCAGCTGTGGTTGGCGCAGCATGCCAGCCGGTAGTATGCAGTGCCCTACAATTCACGGGCGCGAACACAGTACAGTAATGTGGCTACAAGATTAAACGATAGCTGCGTAAGAGCACGCTGCAAAGCGAAGCAAATGACCACGTTAAACTTCTTGCTGTCAGATGCAGCATTGCTATTGCATGACAAATTTCGTTCTTCTGTAACGCACACCTTCATCAAACCGTATTTCAAGCGATACTTTATGACACGTCAGCATTGCGCCCAAAAGCAAGGTTTGATGACCCACGGAGTCAGTTTGGGCTTCCAAGCTTGAGTTAAAGGTCCTATCGCCATTCCTAATGAGCGAGGGTACATTAAGAAATAGGGTGCATTCTACTGTGTTCTCAAGATTCCGTCTGTGCCGCAGTAATTGTCGATTTGCCACGTCGCTTCGAAGTATGCATCATACACCTGTTTGTAAAACACGGCAACAGCATCATTGGAATTAAAGGCATCCGAACTTTGAAATGAAGTGATCAAAACTCGGTTGCCACTGCACGATTTCGTGGCCAAGCCCTAGGCTTGTGCGTCTGCAGTAATGACACACAGTCTTCGGAAATTTGTAATCCCCAAAGTACTGCCCACTTCACACATTTCCTGTCGGCATTCAAAACCATTCAAGTCGCCCAAAGCTGTGCATTCGCAGTTTTCTTTTTCAACATTGTCAAAATGAGGCCGATTCTCTCAGGTTAGAGCCCATTCTCGGCGCCATATCTGTCAGTGGAAACACAGTACTACAACCAACAAGATGGACACGGGCGGAGAATTTCGGGCCCAACGCTCCGCTCCCGCCTCCCCTCTGTCTAGTTCTGACTAAATTCTTGCAGAAAATTTGTCAGGTGAAATGCCAAAAGCCGTAAATAACGGAGAAAGCCCAAAGTTTACAGCAACGAAAGAACTACGCCGCCGCAGTCAAAAAGGCAGCTGTGGTCCTCACCTCCCCTGGATGCTGCGCTGCCTCCTCAATGCGATCCCGGAGGGATCCTAGGGAGCCCGCGGTCGAGGGAGACTCGTCAAGGGCCTCCAAGTACGACTCTAAGGGGGATGGCACCTCGATGGCCAGGTTGTTCATCTCGAACATGCCGATGAGACTGCCGTACACCTGCCAGGCCACAGCGCAGGCTAGGCTCAGGCGGTGTGCCGCCCTAAAAAGAAAGTGGAGCAACAGTGCACTGTAAAGTACTAAGCTTTGCAACGCCTTTTCCCAAAAGAATTGCAGTCCAAACGCCTCCACACAATTGGTGAAGACTGGCACGTGCCAGTCTCTGCACAGTAAAGCGCAGTCCGGGTCAGGGGTCTGTGCTCCTGGCTAATGCGGTTTGAGGCATTGCTGCACGAACTCCAGCAGTTTAGCAGTGGTCGACACAGCGACATTTCGTGAAGTGGGCTCTTTCTGGCCGGTGCACAAGCAATCCGGCCTGCCGAAGCTCTGGCTTTTAAGATTGCCAGATTTGCAATATTCCAATCAACAACAGTTGGCAAATGCACAAAGCTCAAGGAAATCGAAAAGCTACAAACTTGTGTTTTCAAACGGGGCTCACCTCTGCCGTGAAAAGAGCAGGGAAACGCCCATCGTCAATTGCAGACTTCAGCAGAGCCAGCGAATCGGTGGCCAGCTCCCTTACCAAAATCCACGCAGAGTTTTAGCCCATGCGTTTGTCGAACACCATTGGAAATTTAGAATTTGCAAAACATTGGAAGATGGAGCATTCTGTAGTGCGCACAACGCCGGAACAGGTTTGTGGGAGAAGTGAGCACAAGGCACCTGGAAACAAAGGACCAAATAACGCTTTTCGTGAACACATATGAAATGCGTTCACCAATGTTGTGCATGCTGAGAACACAAAAATAGCCCAAACCCATAAACGTTGTAAACGTTTGAACACGTGTTATTTAGCACTTTTTCTGCTAGTTAGGCCGAAGCACTAAGCCCCGAGTCTTGTACCGTTCTCTCCGAAAGGGTGCTTGATGTCTGAAGACGCCTTGCCACCCATAGCTGCCAATCACATGAACAGGCAAGCATGACTCCAGAAAACCAATTTCGACACCATTTAAAGAAACAGGAGAATAAATTTGAACACTAGTCAATAAATTGCTATGTCGCCAGACGTGTCGTCGACGCAACTTGGTCAATTTTAGGGAACCCAATCAACCAAAAGATTTTCATGCCTTCATACAGACCGTTCAAGCTCTGCACTGAAGCTGCAAGTTCCATAGCAGTTACGGCTCGAGGTTTAGACCACATCAGCCACTCAAGAGCTCAAGATTTGCGGCAAGGAGACCACAACCCTGGTTGGATCCCTTTGTCCCCACACTGAGCCACTTTCTGACACCCTCACACCAAAAGCATTGCACCTTTCTGCATAATAACGTAACGCTTGGTCCTTTTTCGGAGAAAATTCAAAAAATTTTATGAAGCTCACAAAAAACAAACAATGCTCTGGAAAACAACGCGTGGAGCAAGAAACACAACGGTAAAACTTTTATGCAGAAGGGTTGAACATTTTACGGTTAGCGTTTTTCAATCCCAAGGACCTCACTTCAGCTCTGCCCTGAAAGCCTCCTCGTCGCTCACATCATCTGGCACGGCGACCGACTCCCACCAGATGCCCTTCCAGTTGCAGGCGTAAGGCCGCCAGGCCAGCCACAGGGCATCCCAGCAGGCGGCAGGGTCGCAGCGGGGCCCATGTGCGTCCCCCGCCTCCAATATCCTGCTTGCCTCCTCAACGACATTGGCGATCACCCTTGCGGCCACCAGAAATATGTCATTGGTCGCCTCAGCGTGGGCCTCAAACTGCCGTAGTGCTGTTCTGTCTGGATCGATGCCTGCAGGGGCACTGGTGGATGGCGGGAGCGAGCCATGCTTGCTGTCAGCAGTCATGGGGCTGGACAGGTGGCAGATATCAACGTTTACTGATGCACTCATTTGAATAACATTTGTAATTGCATTTGTTTGAATAACGATTATATAAGCCTATGCCAATGAGGCCGCGATGTGCCTTGCCCCCATCAGCCGATACCAGGCATTTTCAGCAGCACCATTTCAGCAAAGGGGAAACTGCAGCTGTGGTGCAGACATCCTAGCAAGGACCCTTATACTTGGGAGTTTGTAATTTACTAAGCCCTTAGGCATTTTGTCCTGTTGGAGTAGACTATTGGTTTAACTTTCAACTTACAAGACTGGTGCCCTGCTCGTTGAGCTCGTGTATCTCTCATCAGTTTTGCTCAATTAATGAGCATGTGATCTGCATCATCTTGTCTTCTTTATTTAATTAACAATCTGCATTGTCCAGAATTCCCTTCCCCTTAGCATTGCATCTAGCAGGCAGCAATAATCGGAGCGCATGCTGGAGAGCAGTGACAAAGCCCCTTCGATTGCGTCCAAGGTCGCATTGAATCGTTGTCGCTGGATGTCAGCGGCTATCACAGACTGCAGGGTGCCAGAATCAGCACATGGTGTGCCTCGTATCCCTGGCAGCACATCGTCTGAGCGGTCATTAGGAGGGATGGAAGGCTCTCCTGTATGTCTCTTTCAAATTCCATGGGAGCAGCCAGTCATGGGCAAAGGTGGGTACAGCTCAGAGCATTCCTTTCGTAAGCTTACCAATCCTCTACTGTTGCATTGTGTTGCTGCTGTCAACAGCTCTGACTCAACAATAGAGATGGAGCGCAACACTCAATGTGCGTCGAAGACTAGTCTTTCCCATCCTTTGTGACACAGCTGTGTCAACCCCTACTAGCAAGATCCCTTCCCCGTCATGCCCAGAGCTCTGTCAACCCTACTACTAGCAAGATCCCTTCCCCGTCATGCCCAGAGCTCTGCTATGCAGACACAGGTGCACAAACTTGTGTAGGACTACTGATTAATGTCTGCAATTCCTGGCTTTGGCATTGACTGAATTGGCCACCTTGTTTTGCAACCAGGTTCATTTTTGGTTGACCCACACAGTGGCAACATCATTGAGCCATTTCCCACGATGTTTCACGCACTTTCCTGATGGAGACCAGTCGCATGCTCTCATGTGAATGACATAGCAAGCGCAGAGGTTGTCAGATAAACGGCATCATGAACAACTGTTTATTGCTTTGTATCTTGACCTAGTGCATAATTACTGAAATTATGATGTAATGGTGCAAACCATTTTAACAATGGGCCTGGCATTGACAGTGCTTTTTGGTGCAATCTTCATTGGCAGCTGAAGAGCAAACCACCTCCAATCCAAGCAAGCACAAAGGTGGTGCTTTGCCACAGACGACGAATGTCATCAAGTTGAATTTGCACACTATTGACTGGAGTAATCAAAGCCTGTGGACACACCTTGATGACACACCATCGCCTTTTCCCAAACTCCCCACAGACGGACCCTGGCACAGCAGGCAATGGTATGACTCCAGAGCGCATTGAGAGCACTCTTGGCTGCAGAATACTTCACCGCATCCCTGCTTGCACAGTACCTGGGCGCCACACACGCAAGAATTATAGGACTGCTTCAATGGCTGCTTGCGCATAGCGCACACAGGAGGGGCATGGACGTGATCAACAATTCGCAATGTTTCAGGAAGCAGAATTGCTCATCAACGACCTGAACCCATGAGACAGCTGTTGGCCTGCACATCAAATGCATTCAGCCGTTCGTCGCTATGCTTCTGTACATAATAGCCCTTCTGACACAACCAATAAAACAAACAAAGCCAACTGAGCTTACTGGCTTAGCACCTGCAAACCGCTCACTGTGCGGCAATGTCAGTGCGCCCAAGAGCAGATCTCTCTCCATTTCACTGTCTGTTACAGTTGAGGCATGCGCTGGAACCTGCTGCGAGAGGGCCAAACACATGTGCTCAGTCATGGAACAGTACACGAACTGAACACACACTCGCACACACGCAAAGGAATCCTCATATGATTGCATTTGCCACATTGCAAGGAGAAACGCTTTCATCCAACTCGTGATGTCAGGCAATGTTTTCAAGTACATGTGCTGTTCGATCCCACAACGTTTGTTAAGAGTTCACGTACAGTCAGTCCAAACTGTCGCCAGTAACTCAGCACCGTCACATGACATCAACATGCACAATTTTTTGTTCCTTGAATGCAGTGTGGTCTCCATTCACTGCTGAGGAGCCTGAGAAGCCTGAGAAGACTGAGATAGTGCTGCCCATGCAGCAAAGAATGAAGAAGAAAATCATTTAAACCTGGAGTCATAGTAACTCAATAGCTCATTGAGTGGATCGGCCAGTGAGACATCGGTGAAGACCATTGAGGCTCATCTGCACTTGATCGTGCTCTGTGATCTACCCGCATAGCTGAAACAGCGGTCAACTGGCTGCATTTGCATCCATCAGGTGACGTCATCACCACTGACAGCCTTCGAGGCAAGAGTGCAGTTTGCGTTCTGGCATTCAAAGAAGGGTTGACCATACCGTCGAATTGACATCTGTGCATGCTCAGCAAAGTTACATATTACACATTTAATGTATTACAATAAAACACTGAAGTGCATTGCAACATAACACTAAGCACCACGCTGACTTCGCCACAATCGAAGGGGTCATTGCAGTGGCAGCCGACACGTGCCTCAGCTCCACTGCCCTCAGGCTCCTCGATGTTGTTCATCAGCCACCAGCTGAGCTGGTACTCCAGACTGCCTGCATCAGTTGAAATCTACTTTGATTGCTTGACTGCAAAGCCCATGTTTGAAAGCGCAGTGCAGGGCGCAGCGCTTTACAGTACTTGCCTGTGCCACTTTGTTCTACCAGGGTGTTTGCAGTACCGTAAACACTATTTGCCCTTGATGCAGCAGACAGAGAATGCTGACACGATTTCCTTTGGAGTCAAAATTCCCCGTGCTGGACGATGTCCACATGCGCTCATCACTTAGAGTCCCATCCCTTGAATGGTGTCAATGTTGTCCATCGAAACCTCACAAAAATTATTGTGCGATTAATGTGTAAAAGACCAAGTGTAAAAATGTATATAGAATAGCAAAAAAATATAACAATAAAATAAAAATGCATATTAAATGTAAAAAACGTGTAAAAGAAGCGAGGTTGCATGTTGGTAAGTTCGGCACATGATTGTGCTTGTTGAATAAACCTATCTCTTCTGTTAGGCAGGAGGAGGGCCCTGGGCTTAACATGCGATGCGATGCCTTGGACCTTAAAACAAGCACAAGGTGCAATACAGTAGACTGAAAGGTTCAGCTGCACAGATGAGAGTAGGCAATCACACAGGGCCTACAGGAAACAGCATTACTACACACTTGTTTGATGGCAGTGCGCATATCATTGTCTGCAGCATACAAGGGCTTGGTTTTCTCAATCGATTTTGACCCTGCAATTGAAAATTTTCACCAGAAGATAGGGTAGTACTGAGGGTATGCCAAGAAGCAGTCCCGAAAGCTCAAGCTCACCAACATGCTGGAAACAATGGCTGCAGAGAACTGCCCCTCGTTTGTTCTGCGCATGTTGGCCCCCCACCTGTACACACGTGAGTATCTTAGCAGCTCTGCTAAGCTATGTGACACATAATTCTCAATGCACAATTGGACAAAACAAAACACTGGAGTTTCTTGATTAAATGAGCGCAGCAGAATCGAGGAGCACATCTGCTGTGCACAGCTCCCTTGTCACTCAGATCATTTGCCATCATCCACAGTGGCGAATGGCAAGGTGCCCTTTCTCCCCACCAGTGGGGCTTCCTCCAGGATAACATCGCCAGGTTCAAAAGAAGTTGTGGCAAATAGGCCTTTGCCTCGGCCTCCTCCCGCATCCAGCCTCACGCACACTCCTCTGCAATCCTCACAGAGCTGCAGCAATAAACAGACACATTGCCTCACATATACACAGACTCTTGCGTGAGAAAGTGCTTTCATTCCCATGCTTCCCATACTAGATCGCAAAGACTTCTCATTTGCCCTGTTGCAGAAGACTTGTTGAAATGTGGCATGCCTGGTCAAGTTGGCTTCCTATCATGCCATCAACAGCCACTGCCAACACCAGCAACAACACATAGTGTTCCACACCCAACTCCCATACCCTGCAGACAGATGTCGCCTGGGCTTGTCTCCCACACATGCCCCAAACAATTTCAACACCACGTCATTCTTGTAGGTCGGATGAAGCACATTTTTGACATTTTGGCATAGTTTTCCTTTGGCCGGGTTGCCAATTCTATGGCTTGCTTAGTCTTCTTTCATGAGATGATCACAACAGCTGGAGGGTGGTCAACTTCTGGGAGCGGGTACAGGCACTTGCAATCTGTTAGGGAATTCTGTCTGAAGGCTTGTGCCGTGAGCAAGTAGTACCCAGGGCCACAGGCCAATTGTATGACACATTTTCCTTGGTGGCAGAATTACGATCCACCCCACCAGCAGGTGTGCAGATCGTCATCGCTTTGTCCTTGTTGAACAGTTTGCGAAACTCCTCTGTGGTGAGCACCCAGTGTAAGCGTATTGAATGCATCAGCCCGATGAAACACTGCCCTTGCACTTGTGAGACAATGCTGGGCATGTGGCAGCACAACGATTGTCCAGAGTTCGATCTCCGCAAATAACATAGTCCAAAGTGTGATATCAATAAATGCGAAGTCCAATTTCACTGTGAACACCCATTGTGGGATCGATGGGCATCATGACCAGACCGACATACTGGCAGATCATTTTCTGTTGCTCAATGCCATGGCTGGTATCCATGTGCGCTTGTTTTCACAGAACCAGCAATAGTTTGGGTGCTTTTTGATGTGGAATAACAACTTTTTGCAGGCGATTTTGGACAGTTTTAGTGAGTCATCTCCAACATGGTTTGAGGTTTGATGCTGACAAACTGAAGGCTTTATGTACCAGTGGAATTGTACTTCAGCATTTACCTCTGGAACTCAGTTCGGTGATGCTGTATTTTTCTGGGGATGTACAGGTCTGAATCTCTGCGAACTGTACTGTCATGCGGATTTTGGCCAGCCTGCCTTCAGCATGCAGTAGATCTGCGTGCAGAGTGAACTGGCTCCAGAGGAAATGTACGCAGTGGACAAACGATGCGCCTGGGCATGCCCAGCTCGAAACATGGCATGCTGCTTCCATGGACACACGTTGCCGGCATTTGCCAAAAGCCCCATTGCGTCAGCCGCAAAGGCCTGTTTCCTCGAGAGCAACCACAAAGAGGTCAAGCTCATAGGCCTTCGCAAGGCATCGCCAGCCAGACATTGCCCGACATCTTGCCCGACACCGCCAGCTTGGTGAAGGGCTTCAATTGTCTCGTTGTGAAGAGGAGCTGGTCAAATCAATGCATTTGGACACAAGACATTCCCGCATCTCCATCGTCCGCATTCGCGCTTGCCTGCGCCCTGGCGCGATCAATTTTCCATCCCCCGGCAAGGACTCAGCCAGGGAGCCGCTGATCGCGAGACAACGGCGGCCGATTTTTGAGATTCTTTCGCTTGCCAACCGGCGGATCGGACGGCGCACCTCGGCGAAGTAAGCTTCGGCAGCGGCGGGCGCTGGTGGCTGGAGCAGCTCGTCGATTTGACGCTGGACGGCCGCCTGCGGGTCGCCGGGAGCGCTCATTTCTCGACCGCCCCGGCTGTTTTGCGACCCCCGCTGCCAACCGAGCTGGGATCACCCCACCAAGCGTTGCAAAATCTACACCAATTGGTCCAAATACGGTCCAACAAGGAAGAAAGCGAAAAAAAGGAAAAAAAGGAAAAAAAAGGCGCTCATTCTTCCCGCCCCAGAACAAGACCCCACCCTGGACCCGCCCAGCTGTTGTCGGCTGCTGGTTCCTACCCGCAAGGTGGCGATCGCAGCGCAGTGTACACCGAAGACGGTGCAAACGTTGGGCAGGGTGCAGGGGCTTTGGCCCAAGAATGCGCTGCGCACCAGCCTTCACCACCAATGCGCACTGTGGGCTCATAGAGGAACACAATACGGACGTTGCAGTCATTGTTCAATGATGGATAAAAGGACACGCCTCTTGCTGTGAAATGCCTTCCTGTCACAGATCGCAGTGGCGGCCCTGGATGTAGGCATAATAAATTCTGACGGGCCATGTCTTGCGGGTACAGCCCGGAGGGTGACATGCACGACTTTGCCGCAACAGCACATGCAGGAAATCTTCTTCACTGGTCACAGTGCACTTCCACAACTGCACAGTACTACCTGCCCCCCCCCTTTTTTTTCAAAAAAGCAGCAGAAAAAAAGTAGACGCAAAAAAAAAGACCTTCATTTTTCCCTCCCAGATCAATGACCCCCGCCCCAACCCGGCATAAAATTACTGGCTGCACCAATCGGTGACTGCTTGCACCAAGTCACGTGCACACCATGCCCAACTCCGTCCAAACTGACCTAACCTAAACCTAAACTCTAAACCCAAAAGCTAGACCTGCCCTAAATCTAAACCTTACCCTAATACTCACCCTAAAGCTAAACCTAACCCTAAAACTGAGGTTAGGACATGGTGTGCACGTGACTTGGTGCAAGCAGTCACCGATTCGGTGCAAGCAGTAATTTTATTTCCCCCCACCCGCTCAAGTGTCGTTGGCGGCTGGCCTTCACCAGCTCGAGGCCATGGGCAAGACGGGCAAGGGCACGGGAAGTTTCGGCCAGCGGCACAACAAGAGCCACACGCTGTGCCGCCGCTGTGGCCGCCGCTCCTTTCACATCCAGAAGAAAATATGCGCCTCCTGCGGCTACCCGGGCAAGCGGATGCGCAAGTACAACTGGAGCGCCAAGGCCAAGCGCCGGAGGACGACGGGCACGGGGAGGATGCGGCACCTGAGGCACGTGTACAAGCGCTTCAGGCACCAGTTCAGGGAGGGGGAGATGCACGCACCGGTGGGTGGCAAGAGGCAGGCGGCAATGGATGTTGATTGAGGGCCGGGGGTGGTGGGGTGTGGGCAGTGAAAACCTTTGTTTGAGTTTGCCTCGGGGAGACAAGAGCGTGCCCTGAAGGCGAGGATCGGGGTATGGTCACTGCAGTCCTTTGGCTAAGTTTTCCGTAGAGAGACGAAATGGTGCCCTTGGCGGCAGTATTGGGAGGGGGCTCTGTGGTCGAGAGAGGAGGAGCGAGGTGGGTGATCTGAAGATGGGTGCTGATCTGGAGGGTAGGAGGGTGATGGGGGGATCGCTGGAGGGGCGGTGGCGTGGGAGTTCGGGCGGTGAAACGGCAGGGCGGGCACGGCTTCGAGGGGGAGGAGATTCTTCCCGGGCTGTGGGGGCCTGCACGCTCGACTGTGGATCTTGAGGTTATGAACTGAAATCTGCTTGCTGGGGGTGCGGAGGGATTCTCCATTTGGCAGTGAATCCTCAAGGCCGTGGCTGCGTGAGGGCAGCCAGCGGCTGGCACAACAGTCTGTTCAGATCCATTGGGCGCTGTGCCATGCAGCCACTGCTGATTGGGGCAGCGGCTGTTGTGTTGTGGCATGCAAGGAGCCTCTAGTGGTTCATTCTGGTTCCAATTGTGTGACCCTCCGGAATTTTGCAAGACAATGACCTCTGTTGTCTGGCACGTTCTTCTTATCCTGATGCTCTTGGCAGTGTGGGACGAGCTGGGGGTGCCATTCATTGGGGGGAGCTGAGCGTCCACTGTGTGGGTCGTTGTTTGCCATCTGGTGCTGATTTGGTGCAAGTGGAACGTTTGCTGTATGGCTTTCTCACTGCAATTTTTCACAGCAGCCATACACGTGGCGGTGGCTGGCCATCCAGCAAGTAGTTTCACCATTGCCCAACAGAGGATTCCGATTTCACCAAAATGTGACACAAAGTGCATCACCACTCGCCAGGAAACGTGCAGATTTTACACACTGGTAATGACAGTGCCCAGTTGTGGACATTCAAGGAGGCGACTGGGTCTTAATTGATGTGAGTTCCATGTTTGTTGTGGCCCTGTGTGGTGTGATGAGCGGGGCAATGTGTTTGACTGCGTGTTGCCGAGCCCAGCGCCTTGGCTGCAAGTCCACAGTCTACGCAGCGTCCTGCCGGATTCGGTGCGCCCTCGAAACTGGACTCTTGTTTTACCGATCTTGGTCCCTCTCCCCACCATACAATAGTATGTTCAACCCTCGCTCATCTTGAAGTTCCGGCAATACGATCTTGCTCCGTGCTTTGTTGATGGATTGTTGTTGATTCTTTGAGGCGCTCTGCCTCGTGTGCACCGCCGGAACCGCGACTCCACACAGTTCGAATGGCCTCAAATGCCGTTCTTTCATCCCAGCGACCCATGTATCCGGGGCCGCCGGATACCTTGAGCATTCCAGAGACCCTTGCGTCATGGCTGGTACCGTTCTGGCCACACCACATGCAATTTTCAAACGGCTTTGCCTGCAGTCACCCAACAAAAGTGCAGGTAGCGGCGAACTCATGCTCTCTTGAGGCCAGCCAGGACCTTTTGTTTGACCACTGCGCATTTGTGTTGGGGCTGTGGCATTTTTCTTATTGCTCCGCAAATTTGCTCTGTAGTTTCATGAAAAAAGGTCTAACTTTATGATACCATGCGGAAGGCTTGAGTATAACCACGCTGTGTGGAAGTGCAATCACACGGCGTCATGCGACCGCGCCACGTGCAATATGCTGGAAAGGAAGTTTTGCTTGTGAACTGAGACACACCCCCGGAACTCTCCAACAAATTCCAAAATTATCTGCTGCGCTTTTGCTGCCCATCAACAAGCCAAAACCACCCACCCTGTAGCCGCGGACAGCTCGAGACCATGGCGCGTTCCCGCTCCCACTCCCGCGGGCGCAAGCGCGCCCCCTCCCGCGACCGCGACCGCGATGGCGCCAAGCGCAGGCGTGAGCGCAGCCGCGATCGCCCTGACCGCGATCGAGATCGCAAGGACCGCCGGGATGGCGCCAAGGTTGGCCGGCGGGACAGGCGCGAGCGCAGCGCCAGCCGCGGGCGGCGGAAGGATCGCGCCCGAGGCAATCGCAGCGCCAGCGCCAGCGACGGGAGCAGCTCCAGCCCGTCGCGCTCCCCGAGGAGGGAACGGAAGGGGGATGATGCGGGAAAGAGGGGGGAGGGGGGGATAGGATCGGCCGGCGGGGTGGAGAATGGGTCCCTGGTGGGAAAGGTGGCGCGGGAGCCGCTGTCGCTGGAGGAGCTGGTGAGGAAGCGAGAACAGCAGCAGAAGGAGGAGCAGAAGCCGATGTTTTTGTCGAAGAAGCAGAGGGAGGAGCTGGCGCTGAAGCGGCGGCAGAGCGAGGTGGAGGGGCAGCGCGCCCGGGCGGAGGAGATGAAGAAGGTGCGCACCGGGTCGGGGATGTGGTGGTCAGGCGCCAGAGGCCTGCTGCGCGCCGGCGCGTGTTCTCCCCCAGGGTTTGTAGATTTCTGCATCTCCTGTGGCAACGGGGAAACAGAGTATCCTTGTTTTTTGTGCTCAGAAAGGGGGGTGGGGTGGGTCATTGCATGACGTGTGGGTTATCATCACAGCAAAAGAATCTTCGGTGACCTGCTGCTTGGCAACTGTACTGTCAATCCCGTGGTTCATCCATTGCCACTACTTTCTGGAGGTAGGGGCAACGGTGGCTGCTGTTGGGGGTTCCTAGATCGCCTTTGCAGGTAGAATGGGCTAATGTACGGACTGCCAAACACTGGGCATTGTACCAGCTTTGGACAAGTCTTTGATTGCATTGGTCAAAAAGACTTCACGGACCACTCCCCTTGCACCTTGCAGTAATGTGGTGCTTCACTGCATACACAAATGTCCACCATCCCTAACTGAGTTTGCCAAAACGCATGTACTGGACAATGGGCATGGGTACAGGGTTGGCAGAAAGTGTCAGATGGCTCATTCCAGTGGATTTGTTCTTTCGTTTACTTGCTGTCACTCTTGCTGTCCTGCCAGTGCACACATTGTTTCAAAAGAGGGGCTTGGGGCATGTGGACAAAACTGTGATGTTTAATACTTTGATCGGGCGAAAAGGTGAATTTGCGTTGCTCCACTTGGACTGTAGGGCATTTCAGTTCAGCTATCAGTGTCACTTCACATGCCTTGGTCGATTCATGTTTCATCTGGGGCTGTTGGGCAAGAATATAGACAAGAAAATGTTTTGGATGTCCAAATGACCGTCATTGCCCATGATGCGCAGGATGCTCATTGTCTTGTTATGACAAATTAAGTGTTCAAGGGAGGGTGGCATACCAGTAGCACAGTTTTTTGCCTCGTGGTGGTATTATTGTTGGATGGACTGATTGCCTGGCTGGCTGAATAATGGGTTGATGCCCTGGGAACAAAAGGCACACCTGGACAACTATATTCTGTGCCTTGTGTTGGTTCATGAATGGATTGACTAAGCCACTTGTGGGTGGGGTGATTGCATAGGCACGGGAGGCGTACCTTGGTAACCTGGCACGACAGAGGGAGCTTGAAAGGAAGCGGGTAGAGGAAGAGCGTCGGCAGTTCCAGGATGAGAGGGAGAGGGAGAAGGAGAAGGAGCTCATCCGACAGCAATACCTTGGGCAGGAAAAGGTCAAGAAGAGGGTGTTGAAGCCCAGCGAGAAGTTTAGGTTCAACTTTGACTGGGACGTTGGCGATGACACGTCCAGGGACCTGAACCCCCTCTACAACACACCGCACGATGTAAGTTTCTAGAGTTGCTTGGTGAACTGGTGATTCTTTGTTCTGCTGTCAGCTCAGTACATATTGTGTGTGTGCTGATCCTGTGATTGTGTTTGCCAAAAGCTTGGCAGGGCACTACCCTTGTGCCTTCAAGGTAATGGTGTGGTTTATATTTGGCACTTCACCTTCGTTCCACCATGGATTGTCGCTGTGGGCATACTGATGAGGTACTCGCATTCAACTCAGCATCATGTTTTGTATGGAACTGTTGCTGCAGCATGCATCACAAAGGAAAACGATTGCACCAGACTTGGCGGTGGCGAGCAATTGATACTGCCACAACTTCTGCCCATTCAAAAGAAACCAGGAGGAAAGAAAAGTAAGCCAAATTTACATACAAAGAGTGGGACAGGCCCTCAGGTGTTCAGATGCAGGTGCCTAACTGGTTCCACAACGTGAGCACCCACTTTCTGGAGGCACTGCTGTAGCAGATGCAGGTGGAGATTTGTAGTACTGTTGGTGTTGGTAGCATCATAAGTAGATACACTGAACAATGGGATGGCCATCATGAAATGATCAATTTGCTTTGGTAATGTTGCAGATGCCACAATCAAATGATGCTGTTTTGGGGAGCAAAGTTGCAGTACCTGCCCCACCAGCTTTTGCCTTTTGGAAGAACAATAACAGTAGCATCCCCTTTGCAAGATGAAATTTGCCGTGGGGCAGGATTCCTGTTATCCTGGCAAATAGGGATTTCTAATGTGAGTCGCTGGTGATGCAAGTTCAAGAAAACGGAAATGCCAATGGCCTCGTTTCTTTGTGGCCCAGGCCCACCTGCTTTTTGGACGGGGCTTGAGAGCGGGCATAGACCGGAGGGAGCAGAAGAAGGGTGCCGCACAGCATGAAAAGGAGCTGCTGCAGAAGCTGCGCTCAGCTGCGGGCCTCAAGGAAACCAAGGAGAGCCGCAAGCTGGACAGGGAGCGTGAGAAGGCTGCCGACAAGTACGACGGCTTTGACATGAAGACCGAGAAGCACTGGACGGAGAAGGACAAGGAGGAGATGACAGAGCGCGACTGGCGGATCTTCAAGGAAGATTACAACATATCGTTCAAGGGGAGCGGTGCCACGCCTGCCCTGCCCATCCGCACCTGGGAGGAGGCCCACCTGCCCAAGCCGCTGATGAAGGCGGTCGTAAAGGCCGGCTTCAAGAAGCCCACGCCCATCCAGATGGCAGCCATGCCAGTTGGGATACAGGGCAGGGACATGATAGGGATCGCAGAGACTGGTTCGGGCAAGACTGCGGCATTTGTGATCCCGATGCTGATGTACATCCAGGCCCAGCCTGTGATGACAGAGGAGCTGGAGGCTGAGGGCCCGTACGCGGTCGTGCTGGCGCCGACGCGCGAGCTGGCCCAGCAGATCGAGGAGGAGGCTGTTAAACTTGCACACTACACGAAGTACAGGATGTGCTCCGTGGTGGGGGGGCAGCCGATCGAGGACCAGGGGTACAAACTGCGCAAGGGGTGTGAGCTGGTGATCGCCACGCCGGGGCGGCTGCTGGACTGCCTTGAGCGACGCTACGCAGTGCTCAACCAGTGCAACTATGTGGTGCTGGACGAGGCAGATCGGATGATAGACATGGGTTTTGAGCCGCAGGTGGGTCTCTTCCTGCTGTTGTTGTTGGATTCTGTCTTGTTTTCAATTCCCAGCTTCTGTGGATCGTTGGGTTGATCGCTGCAGCACATACAGAAGCGATTATTGAAAACTGGACAAGCAATAGGGAATGTTCTGTGACAGCATTCTTTGTGTCCAGGAACATAGTCTGTCATGTACTCATCATGACAAATGTCTTTCAGGAAAGGAATCCAACAAATATTCATAAGCCACCCCCAATCCTTTGTAGATATCGACGGGTATTGTGGCGTTTCGATGTCTAAAGGTATTTTAGGATTTTCCCTGCCAACTGCAGGTGATTCATTGCATCGCATTCGTTGAAAAATGATGAAACACAACAAATGTATATTCCCAGGCGATTGCAGGCATCAGTTCTTCTCTGTGTTATACCACCTTTCCCCAAAGGAGTGCTGGGGCCTCGTGGGGCCCAAATGGTGTCTGCACCACTGCCGACGGACTGACATGCAAGTTGCTGCTCAAAGTCTAGGGATGCGCCAGTTGCTCAATCTCTAATGGATGTCACCTTGTTTCGATTGTACTAACAGTGCTTCACTTGTTTCGATGCACCCCGCGCTGTGCTCAGTCTGTTTGTTGTCTTGTCACTGTCTTTTACCCCATAGTGTTTAAATCGTTTTTGATTCTTGGACCACTCAACCAATGATGATCGACTACTGGATAATTTATCATCAATTAATGGATCGATTTGTGGCTCGCTCGACCAGTGACATGATCAATTACTGGATCATTTATAATCAATTAAGGGATTGATTCTGATCGCCTCTGACTCATCCGCAGGTTGTGGGCGTCCTGGACGCCATGCCATCCACCAATCTCCGCCCCGAGAACGAGGAGGCCGAGGGTGGCTCCCTCAAGTACCGCACCACCCACATGTTCAGCGCCACGATGCCCTCCGCCGTGGAGCGCCTTGCCAAAAAGTACCTGCGCCGGCCCGTGGTCATCACCATCGGCACCGCAGGCAAGGCCACGGACAACGTCTCCCAGCGCGTCATCCCCTGCAAGGAGAACGAGAAGGAGCATCGGCTAGAGCAGGAGATGAGCAAGCTGCACGAGAAGCGCGCGATCGTGTTCGTCAACACCAAGGCCAAGTGCGACGTGGTGTACAGGCGCCTGGAGGCCATGGGCTACAGCTGCACGGTGCTGCACGGCGGCAAGACGCAGGAGCAGCGGGAGGCCAGCATCAAGGGCTTCAGGGACGACGCCTACAACATACTCATCGCCACCGACGTGGCGGGCCGCGGGATAGACGTGCCCGACGTCGCCCTGGTGATCAACTACGACATGCCCAACAACATCGAAATGTACACGCACAGGATCGGACGGACCGGCCGCGCGGGCCGCAAGGGGGTGGCCATCACCTTCTTGACGATGGGCGAGGCCGAGCAGCCGGTGCTGTACGACCTGAAGAAGGTGCTGGAGGAGTGCGGTGTGAGCGTGCCGCCTGAGTTGGCGCGCCACCCCAAGGCGCAGGTCAAGCCGGGGACCATAGAGCAGCGACCAAGGAGGAAGGAGCAGCTGTTCGCGGCGTGACCGGGGGTGGGGTTTGGGGTTTGGGCGCGGGGGGTGATGCCCTCGCCGGGCCTGGCACCGAAATGTTGGAAAACGTCGCCGGTGCATTCCTCCGGAGCGTGGGGTCAAAGAGTCGGATCAGTCGCCCGTGCCCTGCTTTGGGGCGCCGCATTGCGCTCTCTGATCTGTTGCTGGAATGCCTTCAGTCGCTATACCCTCTCGGCGAACCAGTTTGGCTTCGCGTTCTCTTTCGTCACCGAGGTACCCGAAGGGCCTGGGCCAAAACCCAGTTCTGGGCGGGGGTTGAGGGCCCCCTCGGCTCTGGGAAAGCAGCTGCGCGGAAGCCGCGATAGAAATTGCCCGGGAGCCGCGTTGGCAACCGCCTGGAAGCTGTGCGGAAGTATGCCTTCGTTGCGCGTGTGTGGCAAAGAGCAGCGTCGGCCTGTGTTGGCCCGCGGGGCGGTGTGGGGCGCCGACGTGTTGTTGGTCGACGGTGGCTTGATGGCGGGTCTCCTGTCAGGGCTGGCTCCCGGGCGCGTTGCTGGTTTTGTTAATGGGAGGGGCGGCCGGGGGCAAAGGGATGCGGCCCAATTCCGCAGATCGATAACAGGCGAATTGCTGCAGACGCTTAAACAACGGATACGTATTGGGCACTGGGGCTGGTCCCTTTTGTTTAAATTTGGCTAAGAAAGACAGGGCGGCGCCCTTGCACCTTGCAGGCGATGACGGGCGTGGAGGGCACGCCCGCACGAAAGCAGGGAGGGTTTGATGGGGGAACGCCGTTCTCTAAGGCGCCGGAACTTGTGAGCTGCGAAGGACTGCCGCCACCATTGGCCGTGATTCTACCATCCCGCTGCGGACTTCCTTGCGTTATTTTTTTTTTGTATTTTAATGATTCCTGTTGTGACACTGGGTGGATGGAGGGCGTGGGGCATGGAATTGGGCCCCGCAATCCAGCGCTGTCCGTTGTTGACCCCTCCGGTCCGCTGGTGATAATTGCTCGAACAATGAGGAAAGAATCTCGATGCAATTTCAACATATCAGATTTTCATTTGAACGTTGACAACCGCATGTCGAGTCTAGATGCGCATCACCAAGTGCCCTTTGCGGTCTCGAACCACCTAGTACCGACTTATTGCGAGCCCAAGCGACCATAGTATGATGACAAACAGTCCCCAAAATCGCCATCTCTTCCGCCAATTGGACCACGTGCCCTCTCACACCTGGCAGAGGCAGCATTGCCGCAACCTCGAAACAGGATGCACAGACACGCATGCTTAAAACGAGCCACGCTGATGAGGACGAGGCGCTCATGCCTATCGACTGTTCGACTTGTTCAACTGCGCACCATTGGATTCTTTGCCCTTCAAGTCGACAGATGAGCGCACAAGGCGATCCACCGCCATGGTGCGTTGCTCCGAATCACGCTGCTCGCGTCAGTGGGCTTTTGCGGCGGCCCTGCCCGCCGTCGCGAAATTCGAAGTGTGCATCTCGTCGGATATGGCCAGTACTTTGGACGTGTTCGTGCTGAGCCTACGGCTGATGCGCGACAGCTTCTCCTTCAGCTCCTCGACCTCGCTCATCAGCTGCTCCTTGCGCTCCTTTTGAACCTGCAAGCCACGGAGGAACTGCGTTCTGCGTTTTGGACAACTCGCGGTGATGTGATTTGTGTTCGAATGTGACTGTTTGAATTTGAATGCTATTTTACAGAAGTTTGCATCGCTTCAGTAGTCTGACGCGCTGGAGTCTTTTGTATGTGCGCCAAGAATATTTCCTGCCATCGCTTGGTGACAACATCTGGGATGTGGCGCATAGTGTCCTGAACATGGGCGCCGCCACCTTGGGCGCTCGCCGATACCCTGGGACATGGGCATCCAGCGAGCAGACGGGCGAGGGTTCGACCATATCCCGGTACACGGGGTCGCATACCCCACGGTATGGCCACATCCTGGATGTGCATATCCAGGATATGGCGGCCGCATTCTGTGTACGGCCCGAATGGGGACATCCAGAACATCTTTATTCAGGATTCGCATACACTGAAGCTGGAACCCTGAATCAGGACGTGGACACCCGGGACATGCAGGAATTTAACCAAACCCGAAGATCGACAGGGAGATGTCAAACTCGTAAGGGTGGCTGAATACCCGGGCTGTGCTTCGACGTGCAACGACTTGCAATCACCACAAAGATCGGTACAGGCACCACGCAAACGCGGATGTGAAGTTTGCAGTTGTTTGGACGACGAACAAGTTGCGCCTGGAGATGCCGTGCATATTACTTCCTTGAAGGGGTGCTTTTCGGACGAGGAGCAAGAAATTGAGGAACGAGGGCCCCCACCTCCAGGTCTTCCAGGAGATCGCCGTTCGTTATGTACGTGCTCTCGGCCTTGATGTTCTGCGACCTGGACCGCAGCTTGTCGCGCGATGTCTTCACGCTCTGCAGCACGTCGCGCTTCTCCACCATCTGGGACTCCACTTCCGCCAGCCGGCGCTCGGACCTGAGGTTCTCCTTCTCGACGAACTGCAGCTTCTCCTTGATGTGGGTGAGGATCTGAGGAAAAGAAGAAGATGCAGGAGTAAACAGAGAGGAAATAGAAAGAAAAGAGACCTCGCTCTGCGTCGTGCTCGCCAGTTTGGTCGTTGTTCATAATTTCCCAAATGCATGCTTGTCAACATCCGTGTATCGCATACGTCTAAATGCTTATGTGTTATTACCGATTCTATATGTGTATATGTTTACATGTTATGTTCTAATGTTATTGTCACATATAAATGCTTTTGCATTGTATGTTGTACATGTTCAAATGTTTAAATGTCCGCAGGGAAACGGCTGTCTGGGCGTCGTGGGGAACAGAGCCTCTCCAGGCCCTACAAGGAGAAGGGTTCGGCACATAGTGGTCCCAATACAGATGACGACTCAAGGGATTATTTAAAGGCATCGGACCTTACGAAAAGTATAATAGAAAACGTTTAATATGGTCGTTCGCTTTTGAATTTCATCCACTTTAAGACGGGTCTTGAACGCGCATCGCATGTGGTATGCATGAAGAAAAGTAATCGGGCACATTGACGCTATAATCGACTTTGGTTAGTCAGCCACCCGCTCCTGTTTCTCATCAACATTGTCAGACCTCCTTACATTTCGGACGCATCTCACAAGTAAAACTTGGGCCAAAATACACGTCTCAAACCGTGTAAAATCGCACAAACCAGTGCCAAAACGTGCAAAAGTCATGTACACTCACTCAACCGTTACTACACGGTTTGGTCCCATTTTCATACGATAAATACACGATTTAACACGATTTTTACTCGATTTGCAATCCTATTACACGGCAAAATATTTTCAAAACCGTGCATCATGGCCTGCGTTTTACTAGTGTCTGCACGCACGTCACCTGCACCGTGACGGTCGTCTTCTTTCTCAGCTTCATCAGCTCCTCGTTTCTCTCCTCGATCTTCTCATTCAGGCTCTGGTTCTCAATTTTGAGCTGCTCGAAGTCTATGAGGTGGAGGCCCTCAGCCAGCTCTTCCTTCTCGCGAATCTTCTGCTCCAGCTTCCGCAGTTGGTACTGCAGCTTGACGTTCATCAGGCGGACCTTGTGGACCTGGGCGTCCTTCGCCAAGTCAGACCTCTCCAGCTCGTCTATCACCTGGAAAGCCGCACACTGTCGTCAATTAACATCCTTTTAGGACAAAACCGGTAAAAAGAAGCACTGCAAAGTACTGAGCTTCACAGTAACTTTTTCTTAAACAGGGTAATTCTATTAATTAAAACCATAAATTTTATAAAAATGTTATTGATATGGTAAACGTGTGTCAGACACGTTCAGCAATAAGCGCACTGAGCGTTAGGCAAAATATCAACTGATAAACTCATCGGTTGATTGGCGAAATGCCCCAGGCAATTCGCAGTTCACAGGACGTGCTATTATTTGCAACCTTGGTTATTTATTAACATATTGGATGCATCAAATTAAGCTCCGGACAGCATGTTTTGCACTGCAATACGAACTACATTGAAACAAGAAATCAATGAATAGGGTAGAGACATATAAGGTGAGTGAATCTTATGTACTCATTTTTTAATATACCTAACAATCTTAAGGAGCCAATGGCCCAGGCAAACTATTACATGCACAAAACACCATGCCCATTTTGCCTAAGTTTCACTGAGCCAACCTTGCTGGGCACTGGATGTCCCGTCTTGCTGTTTTCGGCGCTCTTTGACACCTCCATTTTAAAGTGCCGGTACGCGCTTCCAATATTTTCAAGGCGCCTGCCCTTTTCCTCATATCTGGGAGCGCCACAAAGAAGAGCCACAAGCAACACAATTGAGCGCAGATAAAAGGGCAGAAAGCAAAATCATGCGAATAGGGAATGGGGCCTCCGTGTATGCACTTCGGTGTTGCGCACTTAAATCTTGTTTTGAGGCATATAGATACTTATCAGTTCCATGTATGAAGGTCAAAAAAGGGTCATAAAGGTGGTGAAGGGTACGAGCTCACTATACACCTGAAACCTAATCGCCCTAATCCCGAAATGAATCTTCATGGCCTAATCATTGCCTTAGAGAAGTTCATGTCCGATAATGAGGGTTATCGGCCATCCATGCCTTCTTCTCCCGTGCGCAGTCGACATCCCGCCTCTGGACCCAGATACACATGGGCTTTGAGGCCACGGCCTCAAGGACGGAACTTCAAGGACGGAAAAGGCAGCGGCCTCAAGGACGGGTCAATTTCCAAGTTGGCGTTCATCCCATTTTTCCAGCATCTTGCAACCCCTTTTGCCGCATTTTTGTGTACATTTGGTGGCTCCTTTTTTCATTGTGTGTTTGCCTTGAGACCCCTCCATCTTATAAATCACAATCAAAACCTCACATAACTGGTTGCGAACATCCAAAATATCATTTTTTCTGCGAGGCAGACCGCCAAAAAGCAACAAGAAAGGGCTTCCTTTTTTCCCAGAATATTACATCAAATTGTAGTTTCCAGGTGCTATGGTGCCATTGTTAGTGCT